AAATAAAACACACTGTAAATCTTAATAAAAATATAAAGAATTTACAACCCATAACAAATTTAAAATTAAAAAAACAGCGCGTCCACATCTGCTGATGCTTTAGCAGCCCTGCACAGCAGTCAGCTAATAGCTGCACTCCCCTCCTTTCTTTGATAAGTATTTTAAAAACAAACATCTTAAAAAATACTTCTCATAAAACTCTTCTGGAGCAGCCTGGCACAGTTTCAAGCTATCGGAGTGGCTCTGCTGGTGCTGAAGTTCGAGAAACACGACTCTGCACCTAGACCGGCCACCTCCCTGTGCTTTCTCCTTCCCCGAAATGGCAGGCGGCAGGAGAAAAGCCGGTGCGGCCGGCGGCAGGAAATAGCGTGAGAATGGGCTCCCTCATGCTACTTCCAGCCCTTCCTGATATCGGAGGGTGTGAAATGGGTTGCAAAGACTGTCTCTCACATTATTTCCTTTTCCACCCCCGCCAAAACCAGGAAGCGCCAGCTAGGAGATACGAAGAGAAAGCATAGCGTAAAATGAAGCACAAAATCACATTGGTGGCCAAGGCTAACTAAAGCAAAAATTCAAGGATCTGTGGGCACAGCCTAATATTAGCAAGTCTAGAAAAAGCACTAGGAGGCTCATGTACCCAGGCTTTGCTTTTGATTTGCTAAATAGCTAATCCAAAGGCTACTGACACCAAAGCAATCTTCTTCAGGACATCCACAGACTTTGGGTCAGACCTTACAGGACAGTGCTGGCATCCTTCATGCCCTCGTGCCACAAACAGCACATTCATATGGGAGAGATCCTAATTCCTCTGACTACTCTGCTGCGTATTTGTGAGGCTTTAAGAACAGAAATGAAATGAAAACCGAGGTAGAAGTATTAGCAGCAACAGCACTTCAGAAAGATCGTATTTGTTTATATTTGTCAGAAGGCATGTATTTGACAAACAGGTCTTGGCACATTACAGTGGAAATGGCTCCTACGTTCTTAGTATTAAGTAATATATTCTAAATAAAACACAATCCTGTGCCTTCAGGGAATAAATATGAAGGATGGTAAATCATTTATTTATCACCGTTTGGGGTTTTCTATATTCTAGACACTTCTGCGTTCTTCTGTTTATTATTAGCCAAGAGCAGTATCACATGGCAGCTTCAGTACAAACATTCGTTCTCTTCTGTATACATCCCCAGAAGATGCAAGAGCAATGAAATTTGGTCTCCTCATAGATAACGCTCCCTCCTCACAGCTAAAATACACTCCTCTTGGGGAGAAACTGGTGACAACCTCACAGACCGTGTTGTTCTAAAAGCAGAATTGAAACTAATTACTTAGTAAGTCCAGTTAAGAAAAGGGAAACAGCCTCCTTTCCTTTCTCTGCCTCTCAAGACTGTAAAATATGCCTAGGCAGGAAGTACAGTAAAGCTCATGATGAGCAGAGGCAGCTACTCTTTCAAAATGAACAGGGTTCCTCCGAAGTGACATTTTCATTTAGCCAGTGAGCTTGAGGATAAAGGGCAGGATACCAGAAGGGCTCCCAGCAGATGAGGTTAGTGGCCAGGCCTCCCAGCTTCACGCCTGCAAAGATCACAACTGCAGTTAAATGGAAAGCCAGGACGGTACCTGTGGCTTTTGGTAAAGTGAATATAAACGTTAACTTCTTATGGGGAGACACTGAAAAATTGTAGCGAGTCAGCAGGAAGTATTGTAGTATTTAAAGTTACTGCTCAGGAGCAGGTGAAAAATACCATTTCCAGACTCTAAACACCTACCTTCGAGTCAGGTAGACACAACACATTAGGCTGAGAATTGTATTCGTTCCCACTTTCCTGGGAAAGAGCAAGCAGCAAAAAGTGGCTTTCCCCTCATCCTTTGTTCATCTAGGAGAGCTCCTGACTCATCAGCTAGTTCTCTTCCTTCCTCAGCACAAACTCTGCAAGAGTTTAAGCCTCCATCTCCCCAACATCTTTCTTTTCAAGATGCTCCAGCATCCTGCAGCTATGCCATACAGTCCTTAACTCTGAAAGACCTTCTGTTGGACTATAGCTAAGCTGCCTACAGGGAGGACCAGTTTTTATCCATGAAAAGCAGAATTGTAAAAGTGCAATGTCAAACAGAAGGGAACTGGGTAAGTCCTCATGGCCTTCCAATACCTCACTGCCACCACCACACCATTAACAAAAGATGGAAGTAAGAGGAGGGAAAGGATTTGTGCCAGTTCCCAGAAGACAGCAGGCAGGATGCCGGGTGCTGCCGCAGCCTGCTGCCTGGAACAGCTGCCGCACAAGCAGACCACAAGCCCTGCAACGTGCCCGCTCCCCGAGGACAGGCGACACAGACCAGCCCTTAAACTCTTCAAGATCTGCATTCATTTCGTGGAGGTTTGGCAGAAACAGAAATGAATTTCATTTTGATACTAACGTTTCTGAAAGCCAAACAAAGATATATGCGCCTCACTGTTCCCTGCTAAAAGACAGACAAAATTGATTTTTAAACATTCGGCAGAATCTCCTTGCAAAGCTTCCTATATATAACCGTGTTACTTCCAAGAGTGAAAAAAATTTCTTTTTTAAAAAATGCAGAATGTTAAATGAGCCCATAGCAAGACAAACTTTACACTAAGCAATTCACACTTCAGAAAATGACAGTTTAAAAAAAAAAACCTAAAAGTTTTACAAACAACTGTAAAAAGTTAATTTTTGTGAACAAGAAACATTGTTTAGAATTTTAAAGTAATTCACCAAACAAAGAATCCATTAATATTTAAGAATTTAATCAACTTTCAAGAGCAAGAAGGGATTTTTGGAAGCTGGATTGATCTTGAAAGAGAAAAGCCACTTTTCCACCTTCCATTTTAAGTATACCTTTCTTGTTTTAAACAAGAGGGGAAAGTGTTTAGAACCCAAGACTCTTCTCTGAAAGAACTGATGACTCCAACGCAGTTTGCTCAACTTTCTCTTTTAACTTCTACTAGCCCTAATGACAGTAGCTTGCACATTCAAATTAAAATAGTCTTCACTTGATAAATCTCAGCTACATTTTCTATTTTGCCTTTGCTACATTTTTTTAGAGTGTGCTCACCAGGTTAATTTCAAGGTATCAATCATGTCAGATTTTACAGGAAGTAACTTTTGTCAGGTCCCTTGAAAATTTAAGATGATAAAAACAAGTTCAGAATTTCAAAGTGACATTAACCTCCAAGCAAACATTTTGCTATTAGAAAAACCTCTTACTTTGCATATTCTGTTATTAAAAACAATGCCACTGCACGATCAGAAATGCCAGAAAGGACAAGAACTAGCGAAACTAGCAATTAGGCAGCTCCTTCTGCAAGAAAATAATGTCATACACGTTACTATCAAATTGAATTAATATTAGAATTATTAAATATTTTGGAAGGAGACAGCAATGGTATCTTAGGAAAAAAAATCTGTAGTTTGTCAGCAGTGTACAAGGTTTATTTTTGGCTCAACAGCCCATGATGTAGAATTAAGTGTTCCACTAGATGGAGCAGGATGGTAAAATCGTCATGAAGGCCACCCCCTTTGCTGACCCATGAAAAAGTCAATGTCCAGCAATCAGGGACGATAAGAATTTTAGCTTTCTTCTGTGCATTCAGGGCAGAACAAAATTTGTTCCTCTTCCAAAAAAGGGCAACACAAAACCCCCTTAGTGCTTAACAATATTTACTTCTTCCAGTCATAGAAGTTGACTATTAACAAACACTAACCAGAAACAAACAGATAACCAAACACTATCAGAAACAAAAGTAGTTTTTCCCCATTTCTATCAGCTTTACACTAGGAAAGACAAAATTTACTGGATAGTTGACAGAAGATGAAAATCTTGTAGTATTTTTTGTTTTGTAGCAACTGAACTTGCAAAAAGTTCCATGCCAAATGATCAAACATTAGTCACCTAATGCAAAAGACATCACTACACATCAAACAAATTCACACTAGAAACAATGGCAAAACTTCAAAGAGGCTCCTAAAGACCTGGAGCTGTGCAAGTCATAGTAAAATTATCTCCCTGGTCTCCTTTTCAAACAGAGCTAATTGTTGATTTACCTTTAAGTCTACCTAAAGAAAAAGAACCTACCCTAAAAAAAGAACCTTACAAATTTTATTTCATCATATGTTCTTTAAGAGATGCAGTAGTAGACAAACGGCAGTTGTCCATTATCATGTGAAATGAGAAACCTGCATTTCCTTGACCCTTCTCCAAAAGAAGTAGAGAGAGTATAAACTAACAGAGAACAGTTTTAGCCATTAATATTCCAAATTTAAGGCCTGCAATTCTTGAGTATACACAACAAAAATACCAGGAATGGTCACAATTATCACAAACATCTTACCACAAAAAAATTCTGAACCATGCTATATTTCTATATGTGATAAATAACTGCAAACATGCAGCAGTCTCTCATGACAATACTAATTATCACAGTGGTATAAATAGCAGAAGAGACCGAATGACTCAGATATGTGCACAAAGGCACACAAGCAGAAGTCCTGGTGACTGATCACAGGCTGCTGCTCATGATTGTTGCTGTCACCTCTTTTGTTTTCAGATAAATAAACTGCACTAAAAACAAAAGCTACAAACATGAGCATGTTTCACACCAACGTACTTTCCAACTTACTAAAACTTGCTGCAGTATCTGAAGCTGTCATTTGGAAAGGAACTGGTCTAAGTGGAAGAAGCAGGAAATTTGGTCTTCAAGACAATACAATTGTCCACTGCATTAAGGTGTCAGCCTGTATTAAGACCATTTGAAAGCATCTGCAAAGTTTTCGATATAGCTATTATTGTCTAACTGAATGCCAGTTTTTCCTACCTCTCTGAACAGCTGATTACCAAGAATTCACTATATAGCATACACTCCTTTTCCAAGGTAAGGAAAAGTAAGCACCAGTACCATCCAAATCACTGTCATTAACATTCAATTAAAAAATTTGTATATCGCAGTCAATATACAGCAGAATAGAAACAATACTTACTACTGCGCACAATCAATCAGTTGATATTCGTTAGATCTCTCATAGCAGGCTTTCACACCTTCGTCTTGCCAAAGTGTTTTTGTGTGTTCATAAAACTCCTGAAAGAGTAAAAATAGTATTAGCAAAATGGATTATATATGAAGAGAATCGACAAATGGTAACATATCGTTACACCACTGTAATGAACAGTAAATGGTAGCATATTTAACAAAAAACTTTAAACATTTTCAAAACCTGACTACAAGTTCAGTTGGCTTTCTTAGTTGTTTTGACTTTAACGTTTTGTAACACTTAAAGAACTGCTTCTCAATCATTTTGATTGAGTCCAACTATATATTGAAAGAAGGGTTAACTTTTCATTAATGACAATTCTGTTGGCATTTTTAATAATCAGTACTATTTGATAACATTTGTTCTTTAACTCACGATTCCACTGCATGTTATATTTATTTGGCTGTCAAGATTTTTATTTTTCTTCAATGAAACACTATTTCTCAGTAATTCTTACATAAAGATAGCAAATGATGATTAGGTTTTACTTGACTTTCCAAGTTAGTGAGGATCTTCAGGGACTATGTAGACATCTGTACCTTACTTAACCCTGTATCACTTGACTCAAAGTATTTGCAGAATTTATTCTTTTACGGTGTAAAAGGATATTGGACTCCAGAAGAAATACAGTGATACAAAGCTAGATAGTGTTTTGATTGTGTCAACCTTAAAAATTACAAGTCAAGATATGAAAACAGACAGCCAAAAATGCGATGCTTCAGTTTCATTGAACCTGTAACACAAGTGTAAAACGCAACCAGAAGCCCGTTCTTTTTTGAATATAAAAGATGTACTTTGGCTTCACAGGGATGTGTGCAATATGTAATTGTATTTCTGGCTATTAGTCTAAGATCTCTGAATAGACTTAGAAAGAACAGCAGCAGCCTAGTGACTTAAATACGCACACCACTGTGGGCATTACTTTTATCAACGGCCATGAACTTTTCTTGGCTAACTCTCAGAGCTTTTAAAATGTTTTGGACTAAATACTTTTATTCTGATTTTAAGTGGTTCAGGTAACTTACTCCAAATCAGCTTTTTCGCATCCAGGACAGCATGTGACCTTTAAAATAGTTGCTGTATATATTCTGTTTCTCCCCCCACCCCTTTTCTTTACAGTAGAAATATTTTAAAGAAAAAGAATATATTATTTTAAATAGCCATTTTACTGCTTCGAGGTTCCTCCATTAACTTAGCTTTGGAATCACTCCCTCTCTTGGGATATCAGTCTCTCACATTCTTTTACTATCAGTGTAGTACAAAGAAAGGGGCCACATCCAAATGTGACTTCCAAGGTTCCACTTGAAAATACCTTTTTAAAAAATTCACTTTCCTACCAGAATGTTAACTAACACCTGAACTGTACCAGAACAGTAGATGCTTTAAATGGCATCTTAAAGACGCATAATGGCATCTTAAAGTAAATTTAGTGATGCAGATTTTCAAACCATCCTCTTTTTGGCAGGTATAAGATGCATATGTGATTGTATGATCATACAATTGTGAATACCAATGATGGAAACAGCCTATCAAATGTAAATTTGATCTTGCTTTTATTGCTGTTGAATATTCACTAGCTGCACATACACACAAACAATAGCAAATGCACACTACACATCTAAAAAACTCTCTATGGTAAAATTTTGTTCTAATTTCTTTTAAAGATATTATAAAGTTTATACATAGTATTAGATGTATCTTTTCAGTTTGTTCCCTGCTTTTATAACTGTTCATGAACAAAAAGGCCAGTTAAATGTCTTTCATAAGTAGATAAGAAGATTTTACTTGATTTTTAGTATTTGTAGATTGTACAACCATTTGCTGTTAAAGGAAGTAAACGATAAATCAAAATCTTAATTCCAGTCATCAGTTTTCTTTCTCCCACTGCTGGAAATATTTTCATTGGATGCTTTCATTTTGAAGGTTTCCAATTTTTTGGCAGTTAGGGGACTGTCAATTACCTTCAATCTTCAACTGTATCACAGCATAGTGAGGAAAATATCTTTCCAAAGCAAAAAGGAGTAGGAAGAGAAAGTAAAGGAGAGAGGGGAATTTTCTGGAATCTCACTGTATTTGAACCAAACCCATTTTGGGGTGGCTTTATAGATTTATTTTAAAAAGTAACAGTAGTCTAATACAGAACATCTTACAACTCACTCAACTTATTACTACAAAGCTGGAAACTGAAAAATTGAATCGTCAATTGTACGAGTTATTTTGCTGAAACAGCAGCTGATTCAAATGGACACATACCATTTAAATCTCCCATCTAATCAAGATAACTTACACCAGACTTCAGATAGTTAATGGAACTATTTGGCAGAGATAAGGTTCTAAAATAGACATCTACTTCAAACTGGGGTCAGCATCTGCCAAGCCAATTATCTCCAAATATACCCCAAAATACTGGCTTCATCCTGCATTACAGTAAGTAAACAAATAACTAGGCAAAGATAAGTTTACAGAAAATGCAATAGAACATAAAGATTCTTCATCACCTACAAATGCACATTTAAAGTGAAAAGAGGCAGTGCCTTAATGAAAAAAAGTCACAGCACAGTAAAACTGCCACAAAAATGAGACACAAAAGTCCTTCCTCACTACTGTTTCTCACTACAATTACGACATTCTGGTAGAGAACTGATATAAAGTAATTATTTCAAACAACTTACGAACTCCATCATACCTTGTGGAGAAACATTTGGAGTAGTTTCTGCAATCAGACTCTTAAAACGGGATGAAAAGTAAATCCAGTTCCTGGCCCTAGCATAAACACATTGATAATAAAAAGCCTAGGATTCAGTTTAACAGAACAGTTACATATTGTTCAGAAGAGTCCACCCTGTGTATTTTAAGGGCAGTTCTTAACTTCTAAGAAAATACGTGGATTACAATAATGAGACAATGATCAATGTTTGTGCCTTGTTAGGCCAAATTAGCAATAAAATACTTAGTATTGCCTTTATGTCTGTCCTGCTAATCTGAACTATAACCAGCAATACTTATGCAATCTTTTCAATACGGTTATTAACTGTCCATGTGGGATGGAAAAAGAATTTAAGTCCACATTCTTTGAACTTTTTAAAGGCATTTCAAAATCAGGATCTACAGCAAGTAATGAGCAATAGATTATTATACTAAGACACAGTGGGGTTTTTGGAGGGGGGTGGGGTGTTTGTGTTTCTTTTGGTCTTTTGTTGTTTGTTTGTTTTCATTTTGTTTTTAAAACCAAACTACATGACTTGTGATAGCCAAATATGAAGGCCTTTTATTAATAAACAACCTTTTGTCTTTAGGCCACATCAAATACATCTTCACCCATTTTGGGACTAATGCTGACCCAGCTTACACAACTGTAAACTAGGAAGGTGTTCACCAAAGAAAAGTTGGAACCAGGCTTATAGAGTTCCACTCTTGCTTTATTAGAAGCCTGCTTATACTAGTGACTGATTTTGGAATTAAGACATAGTAGCTAGTTGCAAAAAAACAGATTCTCCCTCCTCCCCAGTACACCTACACTAACCACAATTCTGAAATAATATTTAAGAAAAAGAATAACATAAGAAACCCTCAGCATCCCATTTGAGTCATGGAATGTAGCCTGGGGCTACTCTCAGGGAAGGCAAGTAAAACCACAAGATTTGTTACGTATTCAGGTAAAACAGGGGCTTCGGAAGCCACTAGAAAAATCAAGTTAGCAACAGGGTGGGGGTTTTTTTTAGTTAAATAGGTCTAATTTGTATGAGATCTCTAAAAATAATGTGTTAGGAAACAAATTAACCAAAAGTAGCAGGCAAATTTCCTGAAAAGAAATAGCCAGAAAACTAGTCCTTACATGTCTGGTTCTTGTTTCCATAACACTGATTCATTTGCTGGCACATTCTAATATAACAGACTCTACAGCAGCATCAACACAGGTTTCTCTTGCACTATAAAATGGAACTCCTAACAAAACAGCTAAAATAAACAAATAATGCTAAACAACAATTTCGTTTGAGATGACATTCCACAATAAACAGGATTTAAATGTTAGGTTCCAAACGATCCATAGTATTTGCAAAGTGTGGTCATATTATCCATTCTTGCCCTATGCATAATTAGAACTGAAAAAAAAATATCCAAGTTATGTCATTTTCCATTAAAAAAAAAATGCTGCAGTTACACGATACACACCCAAGATCCTGTTTAAACTATAGCTGAAGCTGTGTAAAGCAACAAAAGTCAACATAAGTGATGACAGCATGGCATCACCAAGGAAGGTGAGAAATGAATTCTTCCTAGGAATTATGTCAAGATTGTAGCATTTATTTACCACTAGACCAGACTTTACACTTTTCAAAGCGCTAACGTAACCCTAAAGAGGGAGAAATTCTTGTGTAGAACACTTCGGGAAAACGATGCCAATGTAACACAAATCTGAACAGAACAAACAGGGCTTGACTTTGAATGTGTTCAGGCTGGGCAGGGGCATAGTTTGAATTCCGGGCACAATCCCTAACTAACAGGCTATGCTTCTGTGAAACTATAAAAAGCTCTGAGAAAATGCACTGTCTGGGTAAACCTTCTCTGGTCTTACTTAGATAACTGAAGTATCAAGGACCATGACTTGCTGATGGCGAGGAAGCCTCATCTCTCATCATACCATAACACCGCGATACTTAAAAAGTCACATTTATGTGAAAAGAAACATATTTCAGTACTAATGTTTTATTTATTAGACAACACTTTCTCCACCTGCTGAAAGTTTCCCAATACAATGAGTCAACAGGCAACATTTGTAAATTGCTTGTACTCACTTACAGGAATCTACGCAGACCTCTAGAGAAAAAAAAACCATCAGCGGAAATCATCATGTAAAAGGGATGCTTGGAAAACAGTACTTTGTTCCAGAAAGATCTTACTGACACAATTCTGGCTTAGAAAAGGGGCAATGCAGAGTCTAATCAGGTTAAAAAACCTACTTGTATTAGAAAATTTCAGCAAATTGAATAAATGGCAGCAGGTAAACAGTGGTTTTCTTAAAAGTCAAACCAGAGAAAGTGTTAAA